ACTCCTACCACTTCTTCTACTACTACTACCACCACTACTACTACTACTACTACTACCACTCCTACCACTTATTCTACTACTACTACTACTACTACCACTACTACCACTACTACTACTACTACCACCACTACTACCACCACTACTACTACTAACACTACTGCTACTACTACCGCTACCACTACTACTACTACTACCACTACTGCTACTACTACGACTACTGCTACTACCACAACTACCACCACTACTACTACTACTACCACAAATACTACTACCACTACAACTACTACCACCACTACTACTACTACTACTACTACTACTACTACTACCACTACCACTACTACTACTACTACTACCACTACCACTACTACTACTACTACCACTACCACTACTACTACTACTACTACCACTACTGCTGCTACTACGACTACTGCTACTACCACTGCTACTACCACTACTACTACCACTACTACTACTACTACTACTACTACTACTACTACTACTACCACTACTGCTGCTACTACTACTACTACGACTACTGTTACTACCACTACTACTACTACCACTACTACTACTACTACCACTACTACTACTCCCACTACTACTACTGCTACCAATACTACTACTGCTACCAATACTACTACTGCTACCAATACTACTACCACTACCACCACCACCACTACTACTACCACAAATACTACTAGTACCACTTCTACTACTACGTGTGTAATAAAGCCGTTATTACTCATAGAAGTGTGTAAAGAAGCCGTTATTACTCATAGAAGTGTGTAATAAAGCCTTCGTTATACATATCTACAAGGACACTGCTGTGGCGTTTATGACTGAGGGGCAGCTGGTGTATTTATCCATCCAACAATATAAATGATGGTGTCAGTGCCTGTCCTAGTTGAAGCTCAGGTTAAAGACCTTACAGACTGTTGTGCTCTGACTTCTTTGGTTTTAGTGTCATTTTCAGCCTTGTGTCTTCGTTCAGGTCCAGCTGTGAGTCTCTCTGACATCAGCTGAGCGCTTCAGTGACATGCTGGTGTTTCCAGGCTGTTTACTGCCGAATGTTTGCTTCATGCTAACTGGGCGGCGCTGCCACAGTACTCCAGCATCAGACGCACCAGCCCAGTGATCAGACATTTCTCTCTTTGCCCAGTGAGCATGTGCAGCTTGTCAGGTCACAGTGTCACCGTGATCTCAGCCAGCGGCGTCCACACGGTGATTTATGTGTTGGACAGATGCTGCCTGCTCCTGTCGATCAGCGCCGGACTTCTGTCACAGAGGAACATTCCTAAAACCCTTTGGTTTGATTATTAAACATTTTAAAGGCTTCAACGTCACACCTGGTCCAAAGGTCATGACGGTTCGAGTACAACCAGGCACCGACAATAGTGAAACATTTACAGTACCGAGACCAGTCACAGGAGACGGTAAAGGATTTTTGATATCATGGAAAATGATCTCAGCAGCAGAATACGTTCAAAGAATAAGTGTTTCTTCAAGAATTGGTTCACCTGCAGTGCAGCAACATTCACGGTACTGAAGCATGCGTGTGGTCTGAGATGGCCGCCCTCCATCCCTTCAGCTTCCTGCTTCTACCCTCATGCATGTAAATAGACATAGAACTCAACACAGGAGCGGTCTCCACGGCTACACAGAGCTAGATTCACCTTCAGCTTCCTTGGTGACAGCTGTGTGCCCAGTATTTACACGTCTGATGATAAATGTAGCGCTGAGCTGCTGAATGAAGCTCGGCCTTGCTGCTGATGTTTCACCTCATAACACCACCATGGCTCCCTGCTGCTACGACGGGGCGTCCCGAGGCCCGGCCTGCGTCTCCCACGCTGTTTGTGTGTGGCACAGCAGTGTTTGGGGTTAAACAGGAATCTGTGCAGCGTCATTACAGAGCTGAGCCCCCCCCCACCTCCACCAGCCCCCGACAACCAAAGAGAAGGAGCTTCGGCTCAGTCTCCACCTCCTGCCTTTTATTGTATTGATGCAGGATCTGCATCGCTGCTGTCAGGGAGGTCAGTTTCTCAGAGGCTTCGATGTGCTTAAGTACAAATCCTGCAGATGTTGGTGTAAACAGAGGGTCTCAGTGTGTGTTTGAGTAGAAGGTGTGTTCATGTGCTGCTGTGAAGCTTCAGACATCGGTGCAGGAATAACGTGAGCACACTGTGAAGCATGTGTTGTTGGTTGGTGGCTTCATGTCATGGCTCTGGTTGTCCTGCGGTGAGCTGCAGCTCTGATCCAAGTGGATGCAGCAGGAACACTAGACCTGGTTTAATTTTCAGTTTAACAGCCCCTTAAGGCTTCTCTCAGCCTTTTCCTTTCTTCTGCCTCCTACATCACTGGCCTCCTGCTCCTGGACCTGTTTCATGTGAATGGATGTGGAGCAGATTGAACCCACTCGCTGCAGCCTCTGGGTCCTCCAGGCTGTCTCTCATGTTCAGTTCTCAGAATTTCCCTTTTCCTCCTCCCCTACCTTTTTACAACACCCTTCCCTTTGACTGTGGCACCACAGCCCCGTCCTCCCTGCACAGTTGAAACGTTCAGAAGTTTACTACAAACAGGTCCAGCAGCCCCCACCAGCCAGCAGCCTGCCATCAAGGACAGGCCTTCCTCCTTCCTGCCAGTTTCAATGAACAGGAAAAGCACTTCTAGCTGTTGTGGGGTGATTTCAGGGTCGGGAGTGACGACTTTGACTGAACACCCGTCCAGAAAGCTTTTGTCCCTCACAAGTACACAAGCCTTGGTTTTGTGGCTTTGTTTGTACCAACCTGAGGACAAGTGAGCGATCGCTTTGTCTGTCCAAGGACACGGCGTGTTGCTCAGCCGTCCGCTGAGGCCTGGGTGGGGCTTCCAGTCGGAGCTGCACATCTTAAGGCTTCTGTATCTGTGAACCAGTTAAAGCTGCGTTCACTTTTGTCCAGGTTTGGACACAAAATGAGTCTAAAATTGGATTTCTGTGTTTCTCAGGATGACGAACTAATCACAGCTTTAGGCCCGTGTTGAGCCGGGTGAGCGCTGTGAAGCACATTCCAGAGCTGCTGAGGTGAAAGGACTTCAGAATCAATTACAAGGTGCATTTTTATGGAGCACATGGAGCTGCAGGCTCGTGGATCACTCCCTTTGCATTCCACATGTTATCTGTGCTCAGAGCAACAGTGTGTGCAGCCTTTCTTTGCCTCCCTCACAGGGAACAAGGCTCGCTCCAGTCAGCGTCCACCTTCTCTCTGTCTTGCTTGTTCAATGCTCAGCTCAGGGCGATCAGTCACCTCCAGAACTGGACTTTCACCTTCCCGCTGTGGCTTATCTCTTGTATCTCTCATTCACTGTTCCACTATCTGGGCTGTTTTGTGGTGTGCTGGCGGCTGTTTGTCGTGTAAACTTGGATTCACTGGAGGCGGGTTTGGCTGAACGCAACACGTGAGGTCTGCAGGTGAAATCGAGCTTCATGAAAAAGAGGAAAATGGGGAGGGGGAAGGAAGAAGGAGAGCAGAACAGGGAAGTTTTTCAAGATTTACCCTCCTCTTCTGCACTCCTCCTCCAGCTTCACCTCCCCCTCCCCCCAACACTGCTACTCACCTGTCCAGTTTCACTTACCCCTCCCCCAAGCTCCTCCCCTCAGGGCAGGTAGGAGCAGTGCTTATAAAGGTATGCTAACGTGAAGCAGCTTATCTTCTCTGCTCTGGGGAGTGAGGAAGACACAACAGGGCTGAGAGAGCGAGCGAGCGAGCGAGCGAGCGAGAGAGAGAGAGAGAGAGAGGCGGAGTAGGGAAGTTTCAATTTGAAAAGACAATTGGATTGACTGCTCTCACACTGCGACCATGGGGCTGGGAGTAAGTACTGGAACTTGGTTCTGGCTCAGTTCTACGGACATTTAGGCTGAGATTTATGGTGTTTTCAGTCTTCAGCTGAAAACGGAGTTATTGGGGAGGCTTGTGGGTTTCCTTCTCTACTGTGTACACCAGTTTTGCAGTCTGCTGTGTTTATTTACAGCTTTGAAGCTTTTGAAATTGGATTGTAGTTTTCTAACAATCATTAACTCTGACAGCATGTTTGAACAGCAGACTGGCTTTAGGCTCTGACTCGAGCAACAAAAGAGGAGACTTCAGCCTTCCTGCATGTATTCAATCGTGTCCAGGGGCTCAAATCTATGTCTCGCTTTCTTCAATGCAGAAAGGGAAAGAAGAGTACAAGCTGGCGGCAACTTCAGATGGCGGGGACAAGAAAGGCAAGAAGGGCAAAGGGGGGAAGGACATGGACGAGCTGAAGAAAGAAGTGGACCTGGTGAGTACGCAGACAGCCTGTAATGATCTATCACCTGAGGACTTGATCAGGATCAGTTCAATACGTAAGCCCTGAAAACTGCTGTTGAAGCAGCTGTAAAGTGTTTGGAACATGAGGAACCCTCCTACAACTAACAGCAACAGAAGTTCAGGAGAGTGACTTTGTGAACTTTCCAGCCGCTTGCTTCATACTTAATGACGGTCTCAGTCAGAACCCTTTGGGTCACTGGCTTCGGTCACAGCATGATTCAGTCACGGCTGAGACAAATCTCTGCCTCAGCCTCATGGCAGTCACATGAGAGGTAGCCGTCTGCCCTATATTCCATCCAGATTGCTGCTTGCGCTGCCACATGTTATTAAGGAGTTCTCAGCTATAATTAACTTCTAAGTCGGGCTCTTCTAGGTTAGTTTTCAATGCTGAAACATTGGGTGAGAGGTTCTGTTGTCATTATAGTCTTTAGTGTGTCAAACATATGCATTAGTCCTCCTGGCCCACACAGTAAACACATATTATTCTGCTGCTAATGCCCTTTCACTCTCAGCTCAGCGTGCCGCCTGCATCTGTGGTGGCAGCCAGGCAGACAGTAGCGCTCTGTCACACGTCCAGCGACTGAATGCACAGAGCTGTACCGTCTGAAATGTCCTGTTGATAGAACTCTTTCCACTGCTGTCAGCTTTTCTCTCAGTCTGAATGTGTAGCTTGTTGAGGTCACTTCCCAAGGTCAGGGAGGCACCAGGCACATGAACGTACTGGACCACAGCACCGGCTCTGTGTTCAGCTGTGCTGATGGTGTTCTGAAGCAGAGCTGCATTTATTTAAGACGCTGTTCAGGTTTCATCTGAAACTGGTTCTTCAGCAAGAGACATCCGCCTGCTCACGTCTTCACTGTTATCAAACTCAGTGTCTGAACTTCCATAACTTTGTGTCCTTGACAAGGTCATGGGAGGCAGGTTCAGATCTGACGCACATCTCCAGGCACCGCTTAGATATGAGACAGTCATGAACGAGCAGAGTGGGAGTTTCCTGCCAGGGAGTTCGATTTCTGGTAATTTTGCAGAATGAGGAACTTTTCGTGTTCCTGGTTGACGACTTTCACAAGGTCACCGAGTGTCATGTGTTGCAGACGAGCTTCAGGCTTCTAAACCAGCTTCTAACAAGCTTCAATAAGACACGTGGCCAGTTTGGCAATTAATTCTTTAATCACTGTGTTTCCTTGAGAATCCAGAGAACAGTCTTCTGTCCAGCGTCATCCAGCAGGTCGCTGAGCTCCGCAGGGTATTAGATCATAAAATCCAGATCTCTGTGACATATTAATGATTACTGTCCTCTGTACATCTTAACTAGATCTCAAAGTCCTGCTGCTGCTGCTGAAGGACATCTCAATGCCATAGCAACCATATCACCAATGTGCCGTGACCTCCCAGCTTAGCATATCATTTACCGCAATTAAGAGCCGTGTCTCTCTGCTGCCGACCACTAAGTCTTTAAGTTCCCAAATAAAGTTCGGCAACAGGTATTAATGTGTTAATAATCCACAGATTTCAGATGTGAAGTGTGGTTAAATAATAATAGGCTGCTGGTGAAACAGCAGTAAAAGTGCAGGTTGGTCTAGCTGACGTGTTAATGATTATTGCCCCATCATAGGATTTACTGCAGCGTCAAAGTCCAGCCAAAGACAATGGCAACTATTCCCATAGAAACATGAAGCAATGCCACACAGAAGCTAAACGCACAAGATGTTCAGGTGGACGGAGCAGGACAGCAGCAGTGTCCACTGACGTCCAGAAACGATCAAAGACGTTGGTGTTGATGAGGCAGAATGTCAAAGTCCTCGGCAGGCTTCAGAAGAACTGCTGACTGAGAGTGAAAAGAAGCAGCAGTAGTTTGGGGCGTGTGATAACACATTATCCATGATCTAACGAACATGCAGCACGGTGGCACAACTGTGCAATTACGCCCTCTGACTGTCCAGCTCCACTCACTTCATCCAATACCTTCACATCCTCAGTTGTCAAACTAATACCATGAAAATGTAGAGCATATATATATATATATGTGTGTGTGTGTGTGTGTGTGTGTGTGTGGACCATCCAGAACCTTGAAGTGCTTTAATTCCACTCAGCTCTCTATGTGAAATCCATTTTAAACAGGAATGAGGAATTTCAAATATTCAACCACTGAAACTATTTTTCTGTTCAGGAGTGAATGTGAATGACTACAATCTGACAACTTAAGGAACAACAATGTGCTTTAGTATTTTTCCAGTTTTTTGTAAAACAGTAAATTTGAAAATTCATAGATAACAATCGTATAAATTATATGTTAGAATTAAAAATATCATTTGTGTTAAAGAGCTCCTACACACTAGTGTATGAACAGAAACATAAGAAACGATGTGGGTAATTACCAGCGCTGTTAATTTAGGGCAGCTGCACCATAACCCTCATACTGGGTGGAGGTCTCATACGTGGGTTAAGCCTGTATATAATGGGTTCCTTATTGCATTACATGTGCATGAGGCAGACTGTACAGCTCTTGTTTACTGATGCCTGGCTGCAACGGAAAATAAATTGAGGTTGTGGTTGTTTCCGTGGTTTTTCCAGCACCGTTTGAACACAACAGGATTTATGGCATATTTGAGGTCAGTGTATCATCACATTAACCGCGGTGGCATCTCTGGGATGGTTCACTCTGTTTCAGGATTACAGTGCTTTGTAGGAGTCGGATATTATTGCAGATCATCCAAATTACACTGGAACAGTCTCTATTCATTCACTTGCTGTAGGCGTTGTACAGAAAAGAAGGAAACACGGTGTGGGCACAGGGACGTGTCAGCTTCTCTGGTGGTCCACCGTCCCCCTGCTTTAATTATAAACCCTCCAGAATCAGAGTATACGAGGAGACGGCACCTCTGCTGATCAGCTCATCCACCAGACGCCCTGTGATGACTCTGCTAGGACGCTCCTCTCCTGGTCAACTCACCAGAACGTGAACACAGCAGCAGCGCTGTGTGGAGCTCACACCAGCGTGTCAGGAGAGTGACACACACTCTCCTGAATGCAGTGTTTGCTCGCGGTAAACTGACTCGTCTTCAGGCTTTAGCCCTCGTGTTTGGCTGTGAGTTTTATGTCATCACTTTGAAAAACACACTGTGCTTTAATAATCCCCATCAGATGCCTGATTTCTGGATGGTCATCTTTACGTCCATCTGGAGGACGTCACAGGAAGCTTTTTAATCCTCACAGGAGATAATAGCTGCGGTTTTAAAATGACAGGGATTTTGGCTTGATGTCTCTCAATCTCCTTCTCTCTCTCTCTCTCTGCCCACAGGACGACCACAAGCTAACCTTGGATGAACTTCACAGAAAATATGGCACTGACCTGAGCAGGGTGAGTATGTCGGCGGGATGCTAACCTGAGGCCCAGACAGACCTCACCAAGCAAACACGCACCTGAAAGTGACAGAGTTCTAATGTTCTGTTCATGTCACGTTAATCCACCAATCCGTGTGGTATCTCAGAGCAAAGCCGTGAGATGATTTAGCAGCAGGTTCATCTCTGTCTCCACAGCAGACCAGTGGAGCTGTCAGCACACAAATCTGACATTTTGTGTGGATCAGTGACGTGTCCCCTAAAACCAACCAAAGTGTTCTCAGCTGTCCTCAGGGTCAGGGTCATTCTCCCAGCAAAGGATTTCAGGAGATGTGCGTTTGTTCTCTGGAATCCCTGAAATGGTTTTACGACCCCCTCAGATGTTTTACGATGTCGATGTAGGAGCCTCAGTCTGAATAAGCTCCAGAACACCCATCAGCTGCTTTGGTAGGAATTACTTCTGATAAGCTTCTGTGTTCCCGGGTTATGCAGAACAACTGGAGCCGGTCCTGGCAGCTAAACTTTTATTGTTTTTATCATTTTCAAAAAGCCTCCTGTGGACAAGTGTTGCGAATTAGCACATGTGCTAAAACACTCAAACAAAGCATCTGGTCTGTCCAATGTGATTGTGATGTCCACATCAAATAAACAATAAAATAAAATTAAAAAAAACTGCTCTCCATCCAGTTTGTCTGTGGCTACATAGCTTCAAACATATTGGGGGGTTTCTTTTCTTTCAGCTATCAGTACACTTCAGATTGTACCTAAAAGAGAAACTGGGCTGCTCCACACCCGTTTCTCTTCATGTTTCATGGTCTTCATCCACAGAATCCCATTACAGCTCCCAGTACAGCCCCACGGTGGCTAAATGCTCCACTGAGTCTCATTATCTGCTGAAATCTGATCTGTCTGAGTTTGGCCCAAAACAAAGGCTTCCTTCACTCAGGAACACTGGCCTCATTGACTTTACGAACAAGAGAAAGCAAGGTGTATTTTAATCCTGGTTTCCTTCTCCAGAGGCCTCCAGTCACGCCCTACTCAGAGCTCTGATCCAGTTTAACACACTTCAGAAAACGTGACCTTGTGTACGTTGAAGTCAGACAACAGAGACACGACCTGCATGTTCACCTCCACATCACAGGGCCTGCTCCACCACAAGCTGGACAAAACAAGCGGAAGCTGTAACTGTAGGGTCGGTGGTGGTGGTGGTTCTGTTCTTGTGTCAGCCAGCTCTCCTTCACCATGGCTAAAGGTCACAGCATTAAACCTGTCTAGCAAACACAGCCGCCCAACAGGAAACCTCTCGTTCTTGTCCTTCATCCAGTAAACAAAGGCAGACTGATGGAACCAGGCAGGAAACAGACGAGCGGTGTTTCTGTGACGCTCGTTGATAGTTTTCGGACTCACTGCTCACATGAGGCAGGATGATGACTTTGTTCTCTGTCAGCCTTCCAGGCTGGTGAACGGCAGCATGGACAGCGTTTCAGCAAACATGCACCGCTAAACCTTTTTCTTCCTTCTGTGGATTTGTTTTTAGGGTCTGTCTTCCTCCAGAGCAAAAGAGATCCTGGCCAGAGACGGTCCAAACGCCCTCACTCCTCCTCCCACGACGCCCGAATGGGTCAAGTTCTGCAAACAGGTAGAACTCACCTGGAATCCCCAGTTGGAGCGAAACATTCTCCATGCAAAGCACTGAATTCAAATTTTAGAAATGCAAATTCAGTCTGATTCTGTCCAGCCAGTAGAACCAGAAAAACCTGAAAGCTTGAAGTTCTTTCATGTTGCTTGCAGATGTTTAGTGGGTTCTCCATGCTGCTGTGGATCGGCGCCATCCTCTGCTACCTGGCTTACGGCATCCAGGCTGCCTCAGAAGACGACCCGGCCAATGACAACGTAAGCAGGGCTTCGCTCGCCTGTGATTTACACGTGTTCTGTAAAGTAAAAGAATGAATACCAGCCTTCTGTGTCTTGCTGCAGCTGTACCTGGGTGTCGTGCTTTCTGCTGTGGTCATCATCACTGGCTGCTTCTCCTACTACCAAGAGGCCAAGAGCTCCAAGATCATGGACTCGTTCAAGAACCTGGTCCCACAGGTGAGAACTATCCCTGACACCAGCACTTAAAATAGCCTTTAACTCCACTTTTTCTCAATGAACTTCTTGTTAATTCTGCAGCAGCTCAACGTGCTTCACAGATCAGACATGATGCTGAGGAGCATTACTGCTGAGAACAAAAGCACAGTCTGTCCATGAAGACCTCTGACTCATCTAAACTGTTATTTATTCCACCTTGGATTGTATAGCAAGCCCTGGTGGTCCGTGACGGTGAGAAGAAGAACATCAACGCTGAGGAGGTGGTGGCTGGTGATCTAGTGGAGGTGAAAGGTGGAGACAGGATCCCTGCTGATCTGAGGATCATCTCTGCTCACGGCTGCAAGGTCCACAACTCCCATATCTACAACTCTACCTTCATTCTTAGGCAGCGAAACAGCATTTAGACGTTGTTTAGACTCGTTAGATGCTTATTTAGGATCAAGCCACGCTGTGATGATGTGTGTAGTCTGTCATTCTTTAGAAGTGCTGTCGGCCAGCTGGACAGTCAGACACATGAGGTCCTGGTTTCCTTCAGCCTTACACCGTCGCTTACCATCTGATGGTCAAAACCGTCACTGACCCATGTGCTGGAGCAGCCTCCTTCCTTTGAATTGCTTTCTAAAATATAGCAAAACTATTTTTTTCCTTCTTTCTTTTTAACCAAATGGGTCATTTTCCATATTCCTGTTTCTGTGCTCAACAGCCAAGTTCAGCGATGCTAGTTCTTGTGTTTTACATCGACATGACGGCATCGTGTCATCATTCACGCCTTCTTTTTCCCTCTTCCAGGTGGACAACTCCTCCCTGACCGGTGAATCCGAGCCCCAGACTCGTTCTCCAGATTTCTCCAATGACAACCCACTGGAGACCAGGAACATTGCTTTCTTCTCCACCAACTGCGTTGAAGGTACAAAACAAGTGACAAGAGGAAGAAACAGGGATGAAGTCAAAGCTAGAGTATGCAGGATCATAGAAACAGCAGGAGGAAGGGTTACTGGTGTAGAAGATACTGCTGATAGTAGATGACATGCAGATGTCCTCCATGACCCTCGTGTCTCATCCCACAAACAGCAGCCATGGTGTCACATGTTCAGGTCCGTTGACTCCCACAGTTGCCACCAGTGTGTTTAGGCTACAGTCTTTTCTGCTGCTGCCTTTTTCTTCTTGCTTTGTGTAAAAATCCAAGATGCTCCACCAAAACATGTGAATGCTTTTCTCTGCCATCTTGTGCTGCTATCTGCTAGTATTAGTCAAGTGTTGTCCGAGCCTTATCGTTCCAGTGATGCACAGGCAGTGCAGGTTCCCAGGTATGTGGTCAGACAGGTAGACTAAAGGCATGTGAATATTCTTGCAACGAATACAACAAAAATGCTCCTGGAACATTTGCATACTTTAATTTATGGCCACTTTTTATCAGGTGAAAGAAAGTATGTTTTACTGAAAGCATCTTGACAGCTCAGAATGAAACCAGATCAGATCATCAGTTTATATTAATATCCATATCTGCCTCACAACACGTCTCTTCTCTGTTTAGGAACCGCCAGAGGAATCGTCATCAACACCGGAGATCGTACCGTCATGGGTCGTATCGCTACGCTGGCGTCCAGCCTGGAGGGCGGCAAGACTCCAATTGCAGTGGAGATCGAACACTTCATCCACATCATCACCGGCGTGGCTGTCTTCCTGGGCGTTTCCTTCTTCATCCTGTCCCTGATCCTCGGGTACGGTTGGCTGGAGGCCGTCATCTTCCTCATCGGTATCATCGTCGCCAACGTGCCAGAAGGTCTCCTGGCTACTGTCACTGTGAGTTGTGGCGCCTATGGTCCAGTTTTGACGCGCTGATCTCATCATCTGACTCTACAGTAGATTTTATTGATTAAAACAACTGCGGTTTGACAGCTGTGAACACTTGTTCCATCTCTAGGTGTGTCTGACCCTGACTGCTAAGCGTATGGCCAAGAAGAACTGCCTGGTGAAGAACCTGGAAGCTGTCGAGACTCTGGGCTCCACCTCCACCATCTGCTCAGACAAGACCGGCACCCTGACCCAGAACAGGATGACTGTGGCCCACATGTGGTTCGACAACCAGATCCACGAGGCCGACACCACTGAGAACCAGAGCGGAGCCTCGTTTGACAGGAGCTCATCAACCTGGGCTGCTCTGGCTAGAATCGCCGGACTGTGCAACCGAGCCGTGTTCCTGGCGGAGCAGAGCAACGTTCCCATTCTGAAGGTGAAACACTTGCTGCAACATGTTTCTCTAACCTGTTCTGGTCCCCACACACTGACCGTTTTGCTCTAGTTCACCCATTCTGGTCACCACAAAAGAGTGTGAATAATTCACCAGTGGAGGCAGATATCAGTGACATCTGCGCTGGTGTAACAGCCTCTCTGGGTGTAAACCAGCACAGGACTGATGAGCTCATGGATGTTGTTCTTCCATGAAACGTTGTGGTGAATTTGATCCTCAGATGAATCATCAGATGCAGTGGCTGTGTGGGAGGTGTTGTCGCTTTATGACTTGGCATGGAAGTTCTTGGATCAAACAAAACACCGGTGCAGCCAAACTGCACTACAAATCTTTATAAAGAGCTCTCAACGTAATGAGGGCTTCATCAGAAATACAGAGCAGAGGCTACAGCAAGGGCTGACCAGACAGACTGTCTGATGCATAAGTAGAATTAGAAGTGGCAGCGGGGTGGGCTGCCCCAAGTATTATCATTTAAAAATACTACCGAAATTCAAGGCGATCTGAATTCCTGTAAATCCTCTGCCTCCTCTGTTCTTCTTCGTAGTGACATGAATAAACACTATGAAGTCAGTATGCGGCTGTGAAATGTGGTTAATGTCATTCTGTGCACACTTTGCATCCGTTGTCGTGTCTAATATGCTTTCTGAACAATAAGAGATGTGATGTGTTCAAACTCGTTGCCTTTTGCTTCATTCCAGAGAGACGTTGCCGGGGATGCCTCAGAAGCTGCTCTGCTGAAATGCATCGAGCTGTGCTGCGGATCTGTTGGCGGCATGAGAGACAAGTACCCCAAAGTTGCTGAGATTCCCTTTAATTCCACCAACAAATACCAGGTACACAGTCCACACAGCGCAGCTACAATAACGTAGCTGTAGTCCCAAAAACAAGAAGCCGTCACTGTAGAATCACCTCCGTGGTGGTAAATGCGACTTTCGCCCCCTAGTGTCCGGTTCAGTCCTGTCGTCATCAACCTGTGATTCACTGGTAGTTCAAAGTTCCTATCAAGGCGGTTTAGATGGTAATTTCTTTGCATAAATTCCTGATAGTGACAATAAAATATGGATTTAAATCCAGCGTTTCTGTTGTCCCACAGCTGTCCATCCATAAGAACGCAACTCCCGGAGAAACCAAGCACCTGCTGGTGATGAAAGGAGCCCCAGAGAGGATTCTGGACCGCTGCTCCACCATCGTGCTGCAGGGCAAAGAGCAGCCTCTGGATGACGAGATGAAAGACGCTTTCCAGAACGCCTATGTGGAGCTGGGAGGACTGGGAGAGAGAGTACTGGGTACACATGATTCCAGTCTGTAGCTACATCCTGGTATCTTTAATGAGCTGGTGAAGAACTCCTGACAAGCATTTCCCTCCTGTCTGGTCCAGGTTTCTGCCACTTCAACCTGCCTGATGATCAGTTCCCAGAGGGCTTTGCTTTTGACACTGATGAGGTGAACTTCCCCACTGAGAACCTGTGCTTCATCGGCCTCATGTCCATGATCGACCCTCCTCGTGCTGCTGTGCCTGATGCTGTGGGCAAATGCAGGAGTGCTGGAATCAAGGTTTGTAAACGGGATTTTTTCAGGGGTTTACAGCCACAGCTTCAGCTAAAACTGGTTTCTTACAAACCACATGTTGAGTCCGCTCATTATTTGCTTCCATTTGAATTTCCACATCTTAAATGTGACATTTGTTTGGAGTTTGCAAGTTTCTGCAAAACACTGAATTTTGAAACTCGGAGCTACAGGTGAAGTGTTTCCCTCCTTCCCCTCAGGTGATCATGGTGACCGGTGACCATCCCATCACCGCCAAGGCTATCGCTAAGGGTGTGGGTATCATCTCTGAGGGCAACGAGACTGTTGAGGACATCGCTGCGCGCCTGAACGTTCCGGTTTCAGAGGTCAACCCCAGGTTCGTGCTCTTACTGACGCTTATTCAACTTCAGGTTCTGAGTATTTTTCCAAGCAGAAAAAATCCTTCTTTCAAATGCAGCTCTTTAGTAGCAGAGCTGTCAATTTTGCTTAACATTCGTACTAATAGGTACAAAATTAGATCCGTGTTTGCCAACAAGGTCCTGCAATCTACTCAGCTAAAAAGGCTTTTACCATTAATTCACTGCAGACAAATAAATGTGGATGTGGCTCTGAGCTGGTTTCTTCATCAGCAAGTGTTCACTCTGAAAAAAAGAAAGCTGCTCCCAGACAGACACCAAAAACACAATCATCATCCTGAGGAACGGCATCTGTCCCTGCAAAGTATTACACAACGTTCTGTGCGATGGGACTAAACAAATGCTAAAAATACGTGATTTACTATCTGCAGTGAAGTTCTAGCATCTGATCAGATCTCATGTGAATCTGGCTTTTCGCTGATCCCATCATTTCTCTGTGCCGAGACCGATGCCCAGATGACGCAGAAACAGGATGCTGAATTCCAGCTTTGTCCTCACACTGCTGTGATGTCTCTGTAGGGATGCCAAGGCCTGCGTTGTGCACGGCGGTGAGCTGAAAGACATGTCGGCAGAGCACCTGGACGAGGTGCTGAAACACCACACTGAGATCGTCTTCGCCAGAACGTCCCCTCAGCAGAAACTGATCATCGTGGAGGGCTGCCAGAGACAGGTCAGCATCAGAGGAGTTCAGGACATGTTCACAGACAAAAGTCGACATTAAAGCTTCCAGAAAGGCTCCGTCCCGTGTGGACGTCCTGACGTGACTTTGTCCTGTGCAGGGAGCCATCGTGGCCGTGACAGGTGACGGCGTGAACGACTCTCCTGCTCTGAAGAAGGCCGACATCGGCGTTGCCATGGGGATCGCTGGATCCGACGTCTCCAAGCAGGCCGCTGACATGATCCTGCTGGACGACAACTTTGCCTCCATCGTGACTGGAGTGGAAGAAGGTGAGACTGAAACCAAGACATCGGCCTGCAGAAATGTGGAGACACAAAGTGCTTAAAACATCATCTGCTGCATTCCTGCTTCAGGTCGCCTGATCTTTGACAATCTGAAGAAGTCCATTGCCTACACTCTGACCAGTAACATCCCTGAGATCTCACCCTTCCTCCTCTTTATCATCGCCAACATCCCTCTGCCCCTGGGAACCGTCACCATCCTGTGCATCGATCTGGGAACCGACATGGTGAGCTGGCCTCTTCAAATCTGACCTGTAAAGCGATAAACAGTCAATGGAGACTTTTTTCCACATACTCTCTCTGTGTCCTGTCTCCAGGTCCCTGCCATCTCTCTGGCTTACGAAGCAGCTGAGAGCGACATCATGAAGAGACAGCCCAGAAACCCCAAAACAGACAAACTGGTGAACGAGAGGCTCATCAGCATCGCCTACGGACAAATCGGTATGAGATGTTTCTAGCCTTTCTTAGATCCACCCACAATCTTCTCTGTGTCTAACGAAGCCTCTGTGTTTGCTTCCAGGTATGATGCAGGCCACAGCTGGCTTCTTCACATATTTTGTGATCCTGGCTGAAAATGGCTTCCTCCCGATGGACCTGCTGGGGATCCGAGTCTACTGGGATGACAAAAATATCAATGACCTGGAAGACAGCTATGGACAGCAGTGGGTCGGTCACAGCTGCTCACGCTGCTGACAGCAGTCGAGTTTACTCACAGTTCACAGCAAGAAAAGGGAAAAATGTGAATGTTTTCTTTTCATTCTTGTTCACCAGACATACGAACGCAGAAAAATCGTGGAGTTCACCTGCCACACAGCCTTCTTCGCCAGCATCGTGGTCGTGCAGTGGGCCGATCTGATCATCTGTAAGACCAGGAGGAACTCCATCCTGCAGCAAGGAATGAAGTACGTACACACAGAGATGAACACAGCAGCTGTTTCAGAAAGCAGCTGATCCATGTATTTATGAACAAAAACTCAGTGGAAGTATTTATGAAATCACATTCAGCCAATAACCAACAACCACAGAAGGTTTGCACCGACCTGAACTGTGCGTGTCCTTCCATCACAGCGTGAATGTGTCATAAAGAGCCCACATGATGCTTTTAGGGGTTCATATCCTGAACGCTGTGTTTGAAGTCCAGACTGTTCTCCTTATTTCCATCACAGTGTAATGTACAGTCTGCCCAGCTGCTGGTTTGTCAGTGAATCAGTCAGGAGCTAACAAGAAGACGAGGCCTCAGTAAGATAATCTGAACGTTAAGGGATCAAAGCAGTTCCAGTAGACCCCACCAATAAAACACCAAGAACCCGTACATGTGCAGAAGATGGGCTCTGTTAGAATCATCTTTGTTTGGAGATGTTGAAGTGTCTTTCTTCTGATGGACTTTGCCCTCCACAGGAACCGCATCCTCATCTTTGGACTCTTTGAGGAGACCGCTCTGGCCGCCTTCCTGTCCTACTGCCCGGGCATGGACGCGGCCCTCAGAATGTACCCTCTCAAGTGAGTAACACACAGATCCCACAGAGCTCTGCAGGGAGACGCTGTCTGCTGGAAAACCACGCTTTATGCATAGTTTACGGGTTTCCCTGTTGGTTCTGTGCCTGTCTCCTGCTCCGTGTCGGCTCGTCGGTGAGCACGACGTGATGCTTCATAAAGATCCTTCGTAAAGCCGTTTCTGCACATTTTTACAGACTTGTTTTCTGTTTCCACACGTTTCTCTTCTGTTGATGAGTTGTGCTTCTTCCTTGTTGTTTTCTAGTGTAGGAATGGAAGTCACTGCTGCTTCAGCTTGGTTGCCCTGTTATTATTGAGTGTCGGTGCTAATTTCCACTTCAGAGGCCGAATGGAGCGCTGGAGCTCCGTTCTAATGAGATTCTTCACCCAGCAGAGCAGAGCAGAGGCGCTGAGGACACGCTAGGCTCATTAGCGCACACGCAGCCAAAGCTCCTGGTCTTGTGTTGCTTGTTGGTGTGCTGCGTCTTCTCTTCTCCTTCCTTCATCTGCTCCAGAGCTTCTGCCTCGGCGCCCTGCCGTCTCTCTGGGTGTCTGCTGGTGTTGGTCTGGGCGGCTTCCCGTCACTGTTTCTGTTTGGTTTTTTTCTTTCTTTGTTAGTTGTGTCTTTGCTTGTGTTTCTGTTCAGTTATTGCTAGAATGACTTAATCAAGCAGTTTCCAGCATGTTGAACTGTTTTCTTCAGAGATTGTCAGGATGTGCTCTTGTGTCGTGACGTTCATTTAGTTTAACCTCTGAGGAGGTCGTTTCACTCCTGATTGTAGTGCTTATCGGTGAAGACATGCTGCACCAGAATCTTCAAATGTTTCTGTTCAGCAGCCTGACGTTCTAACCCAAACCCTAAACCTGAACCCTTTTCCTGTGCTTTGGAGAAGTTTCAAGCAGCCATAATGGCAGACAGCGCTGAGTCTCTCCAGCAGGCGGGATGATGCTCGGGTCTTTCTTGTCACTTTGTCATTCCATCTCTGTCTGTCCCTCAGGCCCTGTTGGTGGTTCTGTGCCTTCCCATACTCCCTCCTCATCTTCCTCTACGATGAAGCCAGAAGATACATCCTCAGACGCAACCCAGGCGGTGAGAACTTTTCCTCTTTTTGCTTTCTGAGGCATCACTGACACGTATCCTGTGTTCTCTGTGTTTAAATGTGAATTTAAAGGTTGTTTCATCTTAATGCAAATCAGAAACAAGAAGCAGAGAACGGAGCCCTCTAAACCCAAAGTCGTTTTTGGATTTTTTTTTTTTTTTTTTGCTTCTGTCACATTTGTCCTCACTGTGTTCTAGTTTCTTTGTGAATATAAAGTCCTGCACCTCTGTGGACCAGAGCAACTCTGGCTAGAAGAAGACAGGAAGCGTGTCTTCTGGACAGTCGAACACAGAATCATGACAAACGGAAAAACACAATTGAATCTCTTTTAATAGTTATTTTACAAACATTGAAAACAAATCAGGATGTACAGCGTGTTTCCAAACAACTAGAAAGACGGCTGACTCTGCACATGTTTAATTCACCTGACCTGGTCATTGGAAACGCTGCCTGCAGCTCATCCAAATGGTCTGTAGACATCAAGACAGCTTGAGACAGCTGCCCACAGCTGAGCCACTGAAGGCTCCTCGGTTGCATTGAGGAGTGCAAATCTTTTATTCTTACGTATTCTGTTTAGTCCAGGCTGCAGGTGTCTCAGTGGTTACCATCTCAGTGGTTAGCACTGTCGCCTCACAGCCAGAAGGTCGCCGGTTGGCGTCCCGGTGAGGACACCCGGGATCTTCCTGCGTGGAGTCTCCATGTTCTCCCCGTGCAGCGTGGGTTCTCTCCGGGTTCTCCGGCTTCCTCCCACAGTCCAGAAACATGCTGAGGTTAATTGGTGATTGTAAATTGTCCGTAGGTGTGAATGTGAGTGTGCTTGGTTGTCTGTCTCTAAGTGTAGCCCTGTGATAGACTGGTTACCTGTCCAGGTGAACCTGCCTTCACCCTGAGTCAGCTGGGATAGGCTCCACCCCCCACCACCCTAGTGAGGATTAAGGTGTCGAGATGATGGATGGATGTTTAGTCTAAAGGACTTCTTTTAGTCCAGTCTTTAAATGAGATGTGTCAAATATCAGGATTTAAATGACGTATGACGGTTCAGATGTGGTGATGGGTTCCTCTGATGGAACCAAACAGGTTTGTTAAAGGAAGCTTGGAAAGTGGGAAATCAGACGATTCTTTCTGCTCATACAGTCTATGTCTCTGATCAGCGGTGTGGACAGAGAGCTGTTCATGTTCTCATGAGGAGCAGAGTTCAGTGTGTTCTTCTGGTTGTGATCCTCAGAAGCCCGTTTGGTGCAGGGCTCTGTGTTTCCGAACTCTTGTAAATTATTCATAGAATATGACAAACCCTCACAGCCGCTACCAGAAACAGGCTTCCCTGGCTTTTCACCACATTCAGTTAAACTTTGTGTGGATTTTGGGACAGCCACCATCAGGCCGACCCACAGGACAGCCGTCTAACGTAGCGCTGACAAGGAAGGTAGCTGAGAGGTGTTCACCAGATCAGATGGAACCGGACCGAACTCCGTCCTCCTGCTGCTGACGCTCAGTCCAGAGCAAAGGCAGTGAGTGTGAGGATGAATCACAGGTGTGTGTGTGTGTGTGTGTGTGTGTGCCCTCCCCCTGTCTATCCTTTGCGTGTTATCTGTGTGTGCGGCGCTGAGATGCAGCAGATGGCGCCGCCCAGTGGGATTTGAACCGTCCACCCTGTCGTTGTTCATGCCTCGTTCCAGCCACGAAGCTGAGCAGAACCTGTGCTGCGGCCTCTGATGCAGCTGTGGGTGTGCGACGGTGTTTGTGTCGTACATCTGAGCCCGGCACACAGATCAGTGAACATCCACGGCCCAGCCACGGTGAATAATGAGCTCCAGTCAGACAGAAGGAGAACAAGCTGAGCTGACACAGTCCACAACAACTTCTGGCTCTTTATGGAGGAGAGCTGATGATGTTTGAATAAAGCTACTGAAACTAAATCTGAGGACTGTGATGCTCCTCCTGTGTTCATGGCCCAGAGCTGATTGCAACGCTGGGCTCTGGGAGCTTTCACACATTCACTCAGTCACTCCTCGATCAGGCAGCTTTGGGCTCAGCGGGCTCTGGCTAACTCATGGGAGTCCTCACACTGGAATGATTTCTAATACACATCCATTCCCTTTGAGCCGCTTCTTCTCAGGGACGTTCTACACGGCCTCCCTGATGGCATCACCATCACAGGAGCCGCTGTGAAACCAGAATGCTGCAGCCTTTCTGTCCCGGCAGGACACGTCTCTGAGTGGCATCGCTGCCAAGAGCCACGGCTCTAAATTCAGCCTTGTGTCTTTGAATCGCTGTCAGTGAACAAAAGGGATGAAATCACCCTCTTTCCTGAGCGCAAAGTTCTGCACGACAGCCAGGAGAAGTGAAAGCCCAGATGTGATTGGAAACATCCCGAAGCTCACGTCCCTAACTGTGTCTGCTCTGGTTTCCAGGTTGGGTGGAGCAGGAGACGTACTACTGAGCCGCCGTCCTGGAGGGAGTGAGTTCCACCACTATTTACTGCCATGTTACATATTTGTCTGAGAAGCTAGACCCCAAAACACACAAAGCATGGATTAAATTAAGAATGTCTCGATGTACATGTCATTCACAATAAAACGTTTCCGTATTATTGTACACAGATGCATGTTTGGTCCTTTTGCACTTCTCTCATGAACACAAAGCTCTCGAGGTTCAGTCGGGGCGTAGCATTGAGTCAGGTGGGCTCGTCCACCTCAGCGCTGCCTGAACATTTCCACAATTGTTTAGATGCTTTCAAGAAAAAGTGACATCTTTTGAGGAAGATGTGACGACGTCAGGCACTTTACCAAAGAAAGAAGATTTAATAAAGATGAAGACTTAGGTCGCTGTGTGGAAAGTAAATCCCAGTACCTCAAAACCAGTCCGTTTCTCCTCCAGTTATAGACTGATTATGTCCACGGTATCAGCTGTTTTCCCAGGATTTAGTCTTTACCCAGCAGGTATTAAAAACACACATGTCAGCAGTGTGTGTGTGTGTGTGTGTGTGTGTGTGTGTGTGTGGGTTCATTATCAAGAGCCCGTCTGCCACAGTCGTGTTTGCGGTGGATTGCTCTGTTGACCGCTAATGCACCGAGGCCCTCGGTGAGAATGAACTGCGACCACTCTCCTGCTATCTGCTGTGTTTGCCCCGGTCATTATGGACGATGTGTGTGTGTGTGTGTGTGTGATATTCCATGATGGTGCCAACCTGCCAGCAGATGGCCGGCCTCACACACATGGATGCTGCAGCAGAGGAGGGGCTTTCCGACTTCTCAGGTGGTTTCCTCCTCAGCAGAGGGTGCTAGTGTGAGACAGACAGCAGACAAAGGACGGAGGGATGCAGAGAAAGCGGCAAAAAGAGGGAGGAGTGATGAATGGCGAGCAAAGTCAGTCAATGTGAGTTGAGAGCGATGAATTGTCTGTGGATCGTGTTATTGTGGTTGGAGAGCATGAAGTGTTGGGTTTATCGTCGATGCGGCGCAGAGAAAAAGGCTGCAGACAGACTAACATTATCATGCCTTCATCCTCCCCCCGTGCTGCCCTCCTTCACCAGCAGGGCCCCTGAACGTGCCTGTTGCTATGGCAACCCATTGGAGAGCCCTCTCTCTCCAACATCTAAATAAAATCTGGGCTATTTATAGAGCAACACTGGCAACACGCAACGCGCTCATCACACATGCATGCATGTAAACGCACCAAAACAAAAATACAGTATTATGTAAATCTGCTGCGCTGTGCCAGGACGGCTGCTGCGTGTCCATCTGCCGTCCAGTCCACCTGTGGTTTTGTTTGTTTGTGTTGTGCATCACATTTTAGAAAAGCTTTAAATAGGAGCGTGTGAGTGCTGAAGCTGAAGATGCCTCCCGTTGCCGTCTGAGCCGTCTCAGGTTTATCTTATCCTGCTGGAGAGCTCTTCAGCCGGCTGATAAAGTCTATTCGAAAACACAGGGATGCAGACAGGGAGTGACACAGGCTACCTACAGGGACACAATAGCCCTCCAGTGGTCCGCCTTGGTCCACTTCATGGTTGAAGGGCTTCCTTTCAAAATGTAATCTATCAAAGCCTGCTGATGGAGCTGCTTTCAGCTGCAGACAGGGATGCCACCTCAGAAACTTCCTCAGGGATTTATACAATATGAAGCTGTGGTGGAGCTGAAGCTTCCCTTTCTTCTGTCCATGTAAGTGGCTGAATGTTTCAGGCTCATATCCAGGGATGACACGTTAAATCTCTCATTTATGCTGCGGGATGAAAGGCTTTCAGAGTCCCTGGAACAGATGCAAATGGCCATAAGGGTGCTGCTGCTGGCACAACTCTCTGCAGTACGATAACCAGCAGGTCTCTGCATCGATCCCCCTCCCTCCAACCTCCAGTCTGCAGGGGAGTTGGGGTGAGGCAGCATCCTGGAGCTAGAAGAGGCTCAGACTTCCAGTAGAGGCAGAGAAAGATGTTGGAGGAAACCGAGGCCAGGGGAGAGGGGGACAGCTTCAGGGGCCCAGAGCTGATGGGCCCTGCAGGCTGTGGAAGCTGCACCTTTGACATGTTAGCATCATAAAGCAGCCAAACAGATGCTTTGTTTGGCAGATGGTGTTCAGACACTGTGTCTGTGTCACAGCGTATCTGCAGCACAGATAAATCTGCTTTTGCAGCTCTGGATTCAGAAGCTGAGGGTTCAGAAGTTGGCTGCTCGCTATCGGTACGCAGCAACCTTGTCAAAGCAGCAGGGAGAGGAGGTGTGTGCAGAACCAGCAGAGAAGCCGGAAGAGGTGGAGCGGAACCAGGAGTGTGTGTGTGTGTGTGTGTGTGTGGTAAGTTGGGGAAGTTTGTGAAAGTTGAAGTTAGCAGTCATAGTTCTGGTGTTCTAGTTTCTGGAAATAGGTGTGTGCAGGTCGATTCATGCAACACGTTGCATTCAGTTTAAACTCTGACGTGGAGGTTAGAGTCAGAGCA